ACACCATATTCAGGAATATATTCTGTTTTCTCCTAGATGAGCCCCACCCATTAGAAATATATTGAAAACCACAAATGTGAACCGCATGATTTAAATTTTTTAGTAGTGACCTTAAAAATAAAATGGAAGAGTTAAGAGTCACATGAATAGTAACAATTATTAAATACACTTTCTTATTCTTTCATGAAAAAGAAAAAAACACACTAAGATTTCAAATTCTACATTTCAAATGCTGATTGATCACAAGTAGCTAATGGCTATCCTATTGGGCATCCCAGTTCTGGAAGCTTTAATGATGTGCCATTCACTTTGTCCTGTTTTAATTTGCTAGAAAGTGTGTGCACTTGCTAGAGAGGGACAGAAAGAGAAAGTGAGAAAACACTCCCTATGGGGGATGGTCACATCACAGTCTCTTCTCTTTCCCCTTTCAGGATTTGGGGCACACATGCACATAGGCCTGGTGTATTTCATCAAGCTGCCAGGTCCAGAACTCAGACTATACAAATTGGCCATGATGGGATCCATGCCACCAGGTGGCTCATTATTCACTTTTACCCAGACTATCCATGTGTGATTGCTTTTTGCATGTAGTATGAGGTAGAACACCCAAGAAGGAAACTAGGTAGTTTATAGAATCCAATGGAAAGCTTCAGGATTCAGAGTTGATCTGGGACCCTTAGAAACTGAAACAGAGCTTGATGATATAGGGCTTCCTAAATACCTCTCATCGCTGCATAGACTCTCTTGCTCCATGAGGATTTTCACAACCGGGCAAGCAACATGGCCACCAGTTGTTCTGGGGTCATATCTTTACAACTTCCAAAAGATGAGAAAGATAATTTTAATTCTGTTTAGAAATATGCCTGCTCAGGTCACATTCTGATACTCTGTTGTCAGTGGGATGAATATTTCTGGCTCGGCCTGGGTTATATACCCATATTTATGATCCTGAGACAAAAATTGTTACTGAAAAACTAGCCACCACAATATATCATGTCTATTTCTCCATGAGAGCTGGAATGCTGGAACTAGTCTTTGATCACAGTAAATATATGTATACATATATTATATAATATATATAATATTATATATTATTAAATATTTATAAATATATATATTATTTAGAGATTTTTGCTATAGGGTGTGTGTGCTGGCTGGAGGACAGAGAGACAGGAAGTGAGAAATCACTCCCTACAGGGGATGGCCACTCCACAATCCCTTCTCCTCCATTTTCCTCTTGGGATTTTGGGTATGCATGCACATGCGCCTGGTGTGTTTTAAGCTGTCAGGTACAGGACTCGAACTGCAGTGGACTATGTGGGAGTCCAGTGATGTAACCACACACCATCTGCTGGTCCCTTGAATAGTCTCTTAATTTGACAGAAACAGTTAAAATAAGGCCTAAAGTAAGAGGAAGACTATAAAGTCATTTACTTTGAACTCATTTTTATGATACATACATACTTGAAGGCCATCCAAATTCTTATTTTACAAGTTTAGGACCAGTGATTATAAGGGTTTCTGCTGATTACAAGGTAATTCAACATTTTTCTTTGTAACTTGCATTTTTCGAAAATTTCTGGATGGTTAGAAGAGGCAGAATGTGATTTTGACTCTGTCTTAGATGTGATAGTACATTGCTTCTGAATATTAGTTTACCTTCAGCAATTTTTCCTCACATATCAGAGGAGGCTACAAAAAGCTTGTGGAAGAAGACATTAAAGTATGAGTTTATTTTGGTGTGAACAACCCCTATGTAAATGTTTCACGATATGTATTTTCCATGAAGTTTTTTGAAGGTATCGCTCTGTTTCTCTCTTTTTAATGCTGCAAAGGAGAATGTTATTTGATATTAAAAGATCATATTTTCTCCTTTTCAATTGATCTAACTCCTTGCCTGAATGGAGTCTTAGTCTCAACTTATTAGTTCAGTCATTTATAACACAGTTTAAAATGTAAGTGTGGCACTGTGTTAGTGAGAGACAAAAAGTTCCCTGAGGTTCCTAGTGTTGTAAGTTTCACTCACATTTCTTCAGAGCTAATATGTTCCTCTTTCTGAGAACAAAGTCTCTCCCTCCAGTCCATTAATCAGTAGAATTACGTGAGTGGAAGGGCATGTAGGAGGAGGAGAATTGGAGAAGAGGAACCTGTCTTTAACTTCCCTTCATAGGAGTTTGAACAAGATTGAGCGAGGAAAACTACCCATTATTACGTTTTGAAACAGCTGAGAAGAGAATTTAGTTTGGCCTTACAGCACCCTGACTTAGTATACCCACAGCAAATTAGGCCGACTTGAGAATAAAGATTTTTTTTAACTGTGAGAGTACATGTGTGCATACCAAAGAGAAACAGAGAGGGAGGGAGAGGAGAAAACACCCCCTAACGGAGTGTGGTCACACCTGAATCCCTTCTCCTCCATTTCTCCATTGTGTCAGCATTTTGGCCATGTGCATACAGGTACTCAGTGTGTTTTCCAAGCTGCTGGGGTTGATTTTCCAATTATGGTTGGCCACTTGAGATCTAGTTCCCTTAACCATGGGACCATCCCAAATTTAGATAATTTAAAAAGGATAGAATGGGGACCAGCAGGTAGTGGAGTGGTTAGAGAGCTGGACTCCCATATGGTTGACCACAGTTGAAGTCGCAGACCTGGCAGCCATCACCCCTGAAGGAGGGGGCAATTTTCCACTTTTTCTCTCTCCATCTCTGTCTCTCTTGTGGGCACATGTGCCCTATAGCAAAAATCTCTCAAATAAATACATAAATAAGTGAGACAAAGTAGCCTTGACTATTTGGATGGCAAAGTATTGGTATAGAACAATTTTCTCAGGTGCCAACATTACAGAGAATGGTTCTGACTACTTTCCTAATGGCCAGTTCTTTCTTTTCTTTTCCTTTCTTTTTAAAGAATTATTCATTTACTTTTATTCATTCATTGTTTTATTTTAATTTGACTGGAGAGATACACAGAGAGAGAGAGAAAGAGGGAAAGTGAGAAAGCAAGCCACCAGGTCCAGGACTCAAACCCTGTCAGTTAGGTGGGAGTGTCCAGTACTTTAACCACCATGCTACCTGCTGGTCCCAGCCAGTTCTTTCTTGAATCATCCAGAATCCATCTCCAATACCCCTCTCCTCCTGCTCTGGCCCACTTCTCACACACAGATTGTTTTGTGGCTTTTGTTCAGAGGTTCAGGTTGTGTAAATGTAGCTCCAGGGTATCGATAATGCCCAATTCTTCTTAATGAACATAAAATCGCCTATAACCATAGCCCCAAATGTTATCTAAGGGTTTCTTTTGATATTCGTATTTTAGACACTTGGTTGAGAAAGTTAGAAGGGTTTAAAATGTTTTGTCTTTTTTACTGTTTCAGAGTTGTGGACAGAAGTCTGACTGCTTTTTCCTATTTTTCCAAGGTCCTTTCCTGAGGGCCCAGGGGGAGTCATGCCCACAGATGTTGAGAGACCATTTTGGCCCGTTGGTAACAGGATTCTTCCTACATCCTGCCCTTGGCATAGTATTGGAGTATCTTTGTGATGTCTATTAAGCCTTCTTATCACTGTTAAAGTACATTCCTTTCTGATCTCTGCAATCTTCCTTTTCTAATCACCACCCTAAAACCTGTAAAACCCACCTATAACCTACAAGAGCCTGCCCTCCCCTCCCCTCTCGCTTCCATATGTCCCACCTTTTGGGGTCAGGTCAATGGAAAAAAATTTTCACTAAATTCCAAACTCCCATCTCTTGCTCTCAGAATCAAATAAAAGGAACCCCTGTACTTGATCACCCCGAGAGAAAGGCATGTTTTGCCTCCTCTCTGTCCTAGGTCACTCATTCTGCTTAGAAATAAACTGCATTAATTATTAGTTTTAGAATTGGTTGTTTTTTGTTGACAGAGTGAATATTTTAATCTTAGTGAACATCTTGATGCATTTTAAGTTTATAATCATAGTCTATCAATAGTTCATGCAATTCAGAAAACTAACTGTACATAACATCAGTACTTTTTACAACTATTATTCTGTGTGTTTCTTTACAGGTTTTTGTCATATGTCCTTGTAATTATAGATTAACTTTGAAATGAGATTTTTCTATTTTAACTTTTTTGGTAATTCAATAGAACAACCTGCAAAAGTCTATTTTTGACTTTAGAAAGTCATTTAGTATTGATGAGAATTAGAAAATGGCTCTTTGCTGCGATTATTGTGGTTTTTTAATTTGTCACACTCAGGTGGTGATTTTAAATACTTGCTTACTACGGGCAGTAAGAAATAGTTTCACCTTTTGATGCTGAGTAAGGGTTACAGTTGGGTTGTTCGAGACAGCAGCTATAAGACCTAGAATCTTTCTAGCTTTGTAAATACCAGATTAGACACTGTTGCTAGGAAACTCAGAATAAGCAAAAAATCAAAATAAGCATGAAACACATTACAAAAATCTAAATTTTGCTCCTTATAAACAATGCAGCTTTGGGATACTTTCTGTTATCAAAGCAGTTGCGTGCGAAACGTTTTTATACACAAGCTGCAGGAAAAAAAAAAAAAAAAACAAGAAAGAAAGAAACTCCGTAAAGCGAAGTAACTATTTCCTGTTTCATTTTTCATTTTCTTTTCACTTCAAGAGCTTTTGTCCCTCGCTAGAAGTTGCTTTAAATCTCTGGGAAGGTCTGTTCCGAATTTACTACTTCAGGATTGGTTAGGATCCCTTTTAAGTGTGCGCTTTGTTCTCTGGAAAAGCTTAGGTCAGTTGAGCAACTTGCTGCTACCGTTTAAGAGAAGAAAAAAAAAAAAGGCTGAGTAATGCTGGAGCCTTCTCATGTGGCTGATGCAAACCTGGAGAATTTGCATCATCATTTAGCCTGAGTAAGTTGGTGTGACAGGCAGGCGCTTAAATACAAGCCCACGAGGAAGCTGAGCTGGTTTGTAATGATAGGGCAGCTGCAGCCGCCGCGGCAACAGTAGTGGCTGGGGAGGCGAGGAGGGGGGGGGGGGCAGGGGGCGGCGGCAGCCGCCGCGGCAACAGTAGTGGCTGAGTAGCCGAGGAGGTGGAGGGCTGGGAGCACCATGAACACACAGGTGTCCCCGGGTAGTAATTAGAGCGCGCTGAAGGCTGAACGACACCTCTGAGTTTTTACCTGTGAACACAATAGCGCTGAGAGACCATCCGAAAGCAAAGAGGAAGAACTCGATCCGTCCCTAAGAGACACCAAAGTTGAAAGTTAGGAGTTTTTATTTCTCTGTTTGATTTTTTTTTTTTCCACCAGCGTGTCATTACTATGGTCAGAAAGCCTGTAGTGTCCACCATCTCCAAAGGAAGTTACCTGCAGGGAAGTGTGAACGGGAAGCTGCCTTCCATGGGCAGCAAGGAGCCACCTGGGCAGGAGAAGGTGGTCCTGAAGAAGAAGATCACTTTACTGAGGGGCATCTCCATTATCATTGGCACCATCATCGGAGCAGGGATCTTCATTTCTCCCAAAGGTGTGCTCCAGAACACGGGCAGCGTGGGCATGTCTCTGACCGTCTGGACGGTCTGTGGGGTCCTGTCACTGTTTGGTGAGTGCGACTTCCTTCTTTGGGGGGTGTGGCCGTGGGGCTGGGAAGTTTGCTCTCTGGGGAAGTGAAAGGAACCTTCCGAGGCGTGAATGAATGGCGCAGGCTACACCAACTGTTCAGACTTTTTGTTTAGGAATGTGAATTACCGGTACATCGTGTCTAGTGTTGGCGTGATCCTGACTTCACTGAAATTGTGTCCCGCAGGCTGCATCCTCTTTTCCTGACTAAGACAGACTGTTTTCTGACTTTCTCCTGTGGGAGGAAAGCAAAGGCTGAGTTTGATGACCCAGTAAAATCCATGGGAGCTTTCTGTACTGGCCAGCTGGGCTTTTACTTGAGTTTGGGGCATTCTGGCAGCTGGCACGCTGCATAAAACACCTGTGAAGTGAAGCCTGGCCTGGCCTGTTTAGGCACAGAGCTGGCTGCTGGGCAGAAGTCCTACTGCCTTTGTATTAGCAAAACGAATGAGTGGCAGTCTTTTCCCTTTTCAAGGTTTAAGTTCATGTGCTTGCCATTCCTAACCTTCTTTTCTACGTCCTTGACATGGAAAGATGTGTCGTGGCACAGAGCTCAACCCCTGTCCGAAGTGGGAATAGCATAGCGTCCTGCGAATAGTTCACATTTTTCCAACCTTCGTCTCAATACCGATACACTTTTGCAGTCGAGGTTTTAAAGCGTCACCTGGGTGGCAGTTTGCTGTGTGTGTTCAGATCTGTGTCCTTCATCTGTATTTCCCTTGGTCTCTAGGGACACAGATGGCTTGTCCTCCTGTTCACTAAGTTACCTGGAAGAGGACTGGTAGAAGATGTGGGATTATTTTTTTAATAGAATTATTTTTATTGAGCTTTATTTATTTATTTTAATTTGACAAGAGGGACAGAGAGAGAGAGAACGTGAGAAAGCAAGCTGCTGGGCCTAGGACTGGAACTGTGGTCGGCCATGTGGGAGTCCAGCACCCTTCACCACCACGCCACCTGCTGGGCCCCAAAGAAGTGCAATTATTCATTTTTTTTTCCAACATTTATCTCTCTTCTTTTCATTTGAGAATGAATAGTGAAGAGGTAATAAAATCCCCCCCCATGAAGTAGACATATTAGTAGAAAGCTATCTGAATTAGTTATAAACATGACAAAAATTGGTGAATTATCAGAAAAAAAAAATTCTGATTAATGCTATGAACTAAATGTCCAAGATATATATGCTCTTCTCTGGAAAATAGAGTGTGTTAGTGCCCAAAGAAATTAAACTCTAAAGCTACTAGCTGTTTGTTCTGGCTCCAGGGTTAAGTACCACGTCTTGGTCCTGTGTAAACCAATCCATTCATTCTTTCTACTCAGGCCTTGGGATGGTTTAACCTGCTTGTATAGAGAGTCAGGTAGAGAACTCAGTTTTCCATTTTTAGGGAGCAGATATTTAAATAAAACTTCTTAAGACACTCTTAGTATAGAAAGATCTAAAGAGAAGTTGCTGCTATGATTTTTTAGAGCGAGTTCGTGGTATTGGTGATGTCCCCAGCTTATGCTTTATAAATTATTTAGTAATGTTTGTGTCATGTTCCCGGTGTGCTCCCCATTCTTACAATATACTTTGGAGTGAGTCATTTCTACCAGATTGAGAAAAACTCTGGTAGGACTCTTAGCCACTGGGAATATTAAAATAGTTATGGCCTATGCATTTACTGGTAAACAGAGAGAAACCTGATGGTTAATCTTAAATAACTTTATGTCTCCTCTGTCTTTAATCTTCTAGCACTTGGCTCTTCAGAATAAGTCAGGATCTAATCAGAAAAACCACCAACCGGTTTCCTGGATTTTACATACTTACATGCATGAAGTTCTCACTATGTAATTCGAATTTTGCACACAATGTAAGATTATTCAGGTGTGGTAAAAGGGAGGACTTTGAGTATTGAACTAGTTAAAGTGATTTTGACTTGTACTATGAAAATACACTTATGCTAAATATAAAGGAAAAAAAGCCCCCCAAATAAAAACAAAACAGCTAAGGGAACTAGCTAGGTTCCACCCAAGTAGGTGTCCCGTGATTACTAATTGCAGGGAGTGTGTTCTTGCAATCATCTACTTATCTATATTTGCATTTTGCACTTGTCACCTAAGTTACTAGGCGTTTTTGGACAGGAGTGCCTTCATAACAGTAAACAAAGTAAAACGTGAAACACGAAATCCTTTTTCTTAAGATTCTAGAACTCTATGCTAAGAGTAAAGCATCTGTACATTTGGTTTACATTTTTTTTTTTTTAAGCCAGGGTCAATATATGGATTTTTACATCCTATTTTGAACTTTTTTTCATCTGGGCAAGATGGTTATGGAGCTTGAGACCTTTAAATAAAAATTTCATTCCCCTAGAACTCAATTTAAACCTAGGGCAACCATCCTGGAATTTCAGCAACGCATACACTGGTCTAGGTATTGATTCTCTGACAATAAATTCAGAGGTACTTAAGACTCTTTCCAATAACATTTTATATTGGATGCTTTTTCTGGCCAGTCTACCAACCTAGTGACTGATTCCCAACAAACATGAATTGCAGCTAGTTATAATTAAAAATAGGTGAACTCTGTCAGTGGTACCCAAATATCAGTGTGGAGACTCTTTATCTTGGAATCATGTATGAGGATTTAAAAATAATAGACATTCTTAGATCTCTCTTTTTTAAGAGTTTATACTCTCTTAGAGAATGGAACTGGGAGTTCATTTTTCATTTTATTGTTTTCGAATTAAAAATTCTTCTCAGGTGATTCTAATGTGCTGTTAGGTTCAGAAATCAGGCAAGTGGCAGTAAGATGTCACCAAATATCCAAAATGAAACACACATTGGACACTTTTGTCTGCTATATTACTGGGAAGTAATAATTCCCTACA